GTCTCGCTGGGACAAGCGGTCCGTCGCCCGCGCTCCCGCGCTCCGCTACCTCTGCCAGAGCCGCACTGCGGCACTGTGGGCCCGAGCTAACAGCGAAGGTAAAAAAAACAGGGTGGCGAGAAGAGCCAAACGTACACTTGCAGCCAACTGGCGGTGAGGTGCAACGAACCAAGAAAGACCGCGCACAGGCTCATGCCGACAACGAGCGCAACAACCCGTAAAATGGCGTCCCTCAGACATGCACTGAACAGAATTAAGAAGCCATGCATTATACACGACCCCTGCAGCGACACCGAGCCATATGGCCTCCGCCTGTCCAGACAGCCTCAGTTCGATCCGCCAATCCCCCAGACAAGGCGACCGTTAGGATAATGGAGTAGGATCACGCAATCTATTTCGGCAGTCACGCGTCACAACCCAGCTAGCTCCAAGCCCTGATCACGTGAAATTAGCGCGCTAAAGTTGTGATGTGAAATGGTGCAAACTATTTGTCAGAGGCGAGTCACAGATCTGCAGACAGCCAGTAGACAATACAAGTGAGCACACCCGAACAAAACTGGCAGCTTCCCTACTGTTCAAGAAACTCGCCCCTGACAGCAAAGCGATTGGCGCTGCCATTCCAGAGCATTTGTTTTACCCTGACCAGCACATGCCAAATTAATCAAGGCCACTGACGGGACGTGGGGCGTGGTGTCAAGTGATGTCAGATTCGACCGATTTCAAAGTGCCGTCAACCCGAAAGTGCGGTTCTGCTCGGGCACACTCAATCGTTCGGGGAGGGGGGGGGGGGGGGCGTTCCTATTTGTGTCCTGGGTACTTCCTACTTGAGTGGAGGGCCCTACGCATTTGTTGGGGCCCCATGTGTTCGGCTCCTCGGTTTCATTGCATTGTTTGGGGGCCCTGTTTATTGGGTCTTGGTGCTTGAATTTAGGGCCCTACACCCCTGTCGGGAGCCGTACGATAATCTGCTTCGGTACGCTCCATGTTTCGGGGGCTCTCCGCACGGGGTTTTGGGAATTTCCTATTTGAATGGAGGGCCCTATACTCTTGTCGGGCCGCTTCTGATAAGCTGCTCGGGCGCATTCCATCGTTCGGGGAACATTTATACTGGGTCTTGAGTGTTTCCTATTTGAATAGAGGGCCCAACGCTGTTGTTGGGAACACTATCTGTTGACATGCTCGGGCACATTCGATCATTCGGGGGCACTCTACACTGGGTCTTAGGTACTTCCTACTTGAATGGAGGACCGTACGCTCTTGACGGGGGCCCTATATGTTAACCTGCTCAGGTACACTCGATCGTTCGGGAGTCCTCCACAATGTGTAGCCAGCATTTCTCGTTTGAATGGAGGGTCCTACGCTCTTGTCGGGGGCCCCGCCTGCTAACCTGCTCAGGCACGCTCGATGGTCCCGGGACATTCATGCAGTGTTTGGGTATTCTTATCTGAATGGATAACCTTATGTTCTTGGCGGGCCCAATCTTTTAAGCTGCTCGAGCCGGTCGCGGAGACAGACGGATGGGAGAAAGGCACGGTACCCCTATAGACCATACCGAGGGGACCTATAGGCTACGAAGGGGCCCATAACCGGCCGAACGGACGCCGTTTTCTAACAAAACAAAAACACAACAAAATGTGACGTCCTTGGGCCTATAGACGGCCAAGAACGGTTGCTAGCACAAGTAATGAGTTCATAAGCAGACAGAGTTAACCCTTCGCTGATTGAAAAGGTGTGGATTGGGGAAATTTGGAGGCTCTTAGCGCTGTCCAGAGGCATTGCACTGTTGCCCGGGCCCTATATGTCCACCTGCCGAGTCAAGTTGATCGCTAATGAGCTTTCCATGTCGCCCTTGATCTCTTTGGATTTTCTCGTAGGGCCCAACGCTGCTGCTGGGACGCTACTGCCTCCATGCCTGGGCACTCTTGATCGATCAGGTTTTCACCCACGGACTCTTTCCATTTGCCCGAAAGGTTCCATCCGGTTTTTCCGGAGCCCCATGTGCCAGGGTACACTCAGTTGTTCAGGGGCCCCTCATATTATTTCCGGGTTCTTCCACTTCCTCGGAGGGCTTTGTGCTGTTGCCCGGGCTCATTAAAGGTAGGGCGCCAAGACAATCGATGCTTAGGGACCTTGATCGAGGGCTCTTTTTCTTTGATCTCCTTTGCGTAGGACTCTTCACTCCTACTGAGGCTCTTTATGTTAACCTGCCCGGGCATTCTTAATCGCACAGGGGTATTAATTCACGGTCTTGGGGCATTTCCCTTTGTTCAGACGGTCCTGTGCTCTGGCCTGCACCTTCATATGTCAGTCTGCCGGGGCACTACCGATCATTAATGGGTCAGCCACGTTGGTCTTGAATTATTTTCGCTTGCTATGAGGACTTTTTACTTGTTGACAGCAGCCACTTTTTTGCCTCCTGAGGCACCCATGATCGCACAGGTTACGTTACTATTGGTCTTGGTTCTTGGTCTTGGTCTTGGTCAGGTTACGTCACTACTTCACTGGCATTGGTTCCATGGCCTTAGAGCAGCAGTGGGATATGCGCCGATAAATTCTTACGCAAATTTGTCGAACGTACTTTTACGTGCCGCCGACGTCGTATGTCATTTCCATTCACCATCGAGTGTGTACCACTTATTATATTTGCACATCACTCTCCTCCCAAATTTTGAATGCTAGGATATTTTGTACTCCTTTATAACGAAGGAAAAAATCTGCATTAGCCATCATCACCAGCTGATTACATCACCCAGCGGGCCAGCGGTCATTAAGCTAGGAATTAAGTCCGTGCTTGGTTTTGATAGTATTTAGCGGCCAACTTGAGCTTATTTTGCATGTTTTTAGGAAACCCTTAGACCCAAAATCACAGGCTTTAACATGAGCTGTAGAAAATGAATGAGCTCCATGCATGTGCATACATAGCACGCCTAGCTTTATAAGGCTGCGCGCAGTGGCATGAGCTCCCGTATCTTATACACAACCACACCCACACCCACACACACACATATATATATATATATATATATATATATATATATATATATATGTACATATAGTGCATATATCATAGTGCATATATATATATATATATATATATATATATATATATATATGCACTATTCATCTTAAAACTTCATGGCCGGAATGCAAAGATGTTTTATAGATGAAGCTCCAAACTCTAAGGGCCACAAAGCTGCGTGCCCTCCCCCCCTAGATTAAGTCCCGGATCCAACCGCACACTCCCCTAAGTTACTGTTGAGACCGAACGTATTGTTTTCCCCACTCACAGATATTGTTGCGTGCCGACAAAAATTGCTAAAAATGACCGTTGCTGCCTCCTAGCACGCACAAAAGGTCATGCTTGAACACGACGTCAGATTTTGCTCCTCACAGCAAGCCTGGCCAGGAAAATATCGCCTGTCGTAAGCCACAGTCGCATTATCTGAACAAGCACACTTCTTCTGGCACTAAGAACTGAAGGTCATACAAATACGGAAAATGACATACAAACAGTGGACTGATTCGATATTGCAAACGCAAAACCAATTGGGGCCAAATTATCCGCAACAATGTTATCCAACTGTATGCGAGCACAGCAATTCTTTCACAGTTACGAAGCGGCACCTGCGGTCTTCGCCTGCTTATCTGGGCCGACTGTTAATTACAATGTTAAGATGACGGTGGATGTGTTTGTAATACTGTTTATTTAGTGGTCGGGCTTTTAATAAAGTTTATATGACGGTCAGGCTGATCAATTAAATACGTGATAGAGGCCGCGAATGCCACTTCCAGTGTTATTCATCTTCTGAAAACTCCGGTTTCAGTCGGCCTAATTGACAGCTGTTTGTTGCTGCAGCTAGTTACCCACAGACTGCTCCCTCTGCCGTGTTTCCAAGGCGGCGCACTGGAATTCTGTTTGCGTATTGGAAGGCCATATGGCTGTCATTATATACAACACATGCTATAGGTGAGATGGGCACACGGCGGTATGGGACCTGTTCGTCCTCAGGTCACGCACGGAGATGGGAAGGATGCGCTGGTGCGGCCTGACAATCAGTCTAACCATCAGTCAGTCAGTCAGTCGGTATAATGACCTTCCCTGGTGACCTGACACACGTTCCTGCTGCCAGGTTTGGTCGTGTATGCTGAACCGGCTGCGGAGCTGACAACGCCTGCTGCGTCAAACCCCATCCCCACCACAAAATGGTTCGATTCATGCATACGTTCTCAAACGTGTGTACTTAGTGCATGCGCATTTGTAGCCACCGACACCCTGTCGTTGATGCTCTGACGATGGACTTGTGTGCCAGGGCACATTTCAAAGCACATTTGAATTGTTATGGGCTATACCTTCAGATTGTGGCCTAGAAATGCTTCAGAAATGGCTAGAAATGCCTAGCGGCTGTCATTTTTCCTTAACTTGACGTTCGGATGTCCTATGTGTTTTTAACTTAACGCTTGGGTGACCTGTGTTCTTCTACTTAACGTTTGGGTGTCCTATGTGTTTTTTAACTTAACATTTCGTTATCCTATGTGTCCTGCCTACGTTCCGCATATGGCCATTGCTCATTCATTAAAGCACAACCGTCAACGACATTGCTCACAATACTGAGAACGTAATTCATCTTTGGCCGCAGAATTATATGAAGTTTTGACGGTAATGGTTGGACATGTGCGGTAAGCCACACTTAATTCTCCATGTCTCCAGATCATGCTATAAGCTCCGAACCATTCTCTCTGAACACATCACTCTAGAACTTGTAAAACTGACTGATTGCGACACGAAACAGATGGGTTATGATTTCTGCACCATAATTTTGGAAGGTGCGTGATACATTGAAATGCATGACGTCTTAATTCACCATATGCCCCCAAAAATCGTACGAAAGCTCTTGCTGTCACCGAATCGGTCAACATCGGTTTTCCATTGACCTCGAATTTTGGGCGTCCGCCTGACGTCATTGTGATACCGCACCTGCCCCAGACCACACGAGCTTTACCAATTGCTGGTGGTGCCGTCCCGCTTCTGGGCGACCATGTCACAGCGCCGCGTGACGGCGTCAGCCCGTTCTCGTCGGCACGACGCAGCACTCCGCGCGGGTGGACAGGCGGGGCGCGGCACTTCCGTGTCCGACCGGACAGCAGCACTCCGACGGTCGGCGGCACCACTCTGCACCGGCGGCGGCGGCGGCGGCGGCGGCGGCGGCGGCGGCGGCGGCGGCGGCGGAGGCGGAGGTGGCGGCGCTGCACGCGGGGCGGCGGCGGACGGCTCACTGGCTGTCGTCAGCGAAGCACCGCCGCACCGCGCGATCCTGTTAGCGCCCGGGGCGGCGCAGCCTCGGACGGCGAGTGACCTCGTCCGGCACGTGCCGGGTCGGCGTCCGCTCCACCGGTGGGAGCAGGTCGCCGTCGTCGCCGGCAACGCGCGATAAGATCAAGCATCGCATGTTAAGGAGATGGGAGCGAGCTGCGGTTTTTCAAATTCGACTTTCTCCGGTCTGTTCTCACGACCGTCATCGCGCTGCAGATCTTAAGATACAGTAATTAATTGAAGAATGTGGTACGGCAGGTGTGGTAGAGGCCGCACCAGCTCCAAAGTCGGTGCGACGCGGCCATACCGACTTGCAGCGCCAAGTAAAATGACGCAAAGTTGACACGAGTTCCACGGTCACAGACAAGCCAAACTGTGCATCATGCATAAAACACTCCTGGATTCCATTCTTTGGTCTCGCCAATTGCATGTGATAGCTCATTGCCATCATTATTGCCATCACCACCATCGCCTCCTGGACCAAAAGTAAAACCTGTCAAGAGGCCAAACAGCTTTTACAAGCGAATTGATTCCATAACGACCGACCACCACGAAATAACGTTAATCAGGGTTGGATCAGGAAATGTCTGTGCCGACCAGACTTGTCTTCAAACCAAACTTTATTAGTCGGCTCAGGGCTGACTCACAGATTTTGGGATCCGATTCAGCCCACGACTTACAGCTGTTCCACATATTTCAAATTGACTCAATTTCAGATTCATTGCTTGCATCGAGTTATTTGACTCATGACTCACGGCTTATAAACCAAAGATCCAGCTATATACACACCCGTACATCAGCCCGTACTAGTCGTGCCGTCAGATATGGAGTCAGATATGCCAACAATCTAACATCGTTTGCAGTTCTTGCAAAATCGACAGCCTGGCACGGGTTACAAACACAATATGACCTTGTTTATGTACCTGAAGTTAACAAGTATTACCAATCACCATTGAGTTTCTCAAAACCTCAAAAATAAGCCCAGCAAAAATACACCTCACACGACCCACGTTTTCCACTCAACAAAAAAATGAACTGAACTGAACCGAACCCCGAGCAACTCAGCAGGGATAGGCTGACCTAGACGCCGACCGTCGTTTCCAACAGGATGCCTTAAACTCATCTCGTCAGGCTACTCTGATGAGATGGGTCAGGAGCCAAAACAGGTTTCCGCGCTGCGTAGAGGCTAGAGCTGCGCGCCACATAATCCACATTGCAAGACGACTTAAGCTGGAAGCAAACTTCTCAGAAGTTGCATGCTGGGTGGAGGTAGTTATTGATTACATCTCTGGGAGGTCATGTGCGACATACAATGCACATATGGGGCAAGACGACCTTGTTGTTAATTTCATATAGCCTTAGCAAAAGCATGCTTAGAGCATTTTCAGTAATAGTGAACGAGGTGTCAGGTGTGGATTACTTAATTGCATGGCAATTAACAATGAAAAATATTACTATTACTTTTTTCTTACAAGTGGCAGACAAACTTCCACCGATTTCAGGGCAGGAGATATGAATGTACGATGTCTGTATCATGCAATATCCTCTGGTTCCTAGCTGAGATTTGACAATCTTCTGTCACCTGTCTTCAAACTGTCACCTCAGGTCCAGTCATATCGATGACGGGCCTCCTACCAACGTATTAACGGGGCCTCCTACCAACGTATTAACGGAGCCTCCTACCCACGTATTAGTCCGCTAAGTTGGTTTTACAAAAACAAAAAAATATTGACGTAAGCCCGTAAACCCGTTACAAAAACAAGCCAGTACGCAACCCTAAGATGAGTTATCCCTGTCATAGTGTAACACCGATGCAAGCACTCGTATCGGGTGAAAGAAGGGGACCACTGGTCTCCGAGTGCTCCTGTCCCGCTCATCCGGCGCTCACGTCCTGGCTGGCCCTGACCGGGCTTTGTTTGCGCCCACTGGCTAACGACGAATGCATCCACACGTGCCATCTGAAGGTGACTGCGTACATGTATGCACACAAACATGCCTGCATACATACATGCATGTATACATTCAGAAGAAAACACTGTGCGGGGTGTCAGTCCCGAAGTGGCGGGGCGACAGGCAGACGCAGTTCACGCTGCGCTTCAAGCTTGCTGGTTGGCGTGGTCAGCGAACGTGGCTTCATAACAACGCTTTCAAAGACATGAATACGTGCCTTTTTAAGAAAAGACACCCGA